ATTTAATTAATGGCAGTTCTGAGTTGTCAGATCTCAAGACATATATTCCAATACAAATTCCAATATATCACCAGCCAAATCTTGTGATATTGAAGCTCATTTTCAACTCCAGAATGCTAAAAGATACTACCATGCATTGCTTTTAATGAAAAAATAATATAGTAACTATAAAGATTAGGCTTACTGTATTTTGCGAAACGAAACTTTGCGAAACTGTATTTTGCGAAACTGTATTTTGCGAAACTGTATTTTGCGAAACTGTAGTTTGCGAAACTGCATTTTGCGAAACTGTATTTTGCGAAACTGTATTTTGCGAAACTGTATTTTGTCATGATTCTGCTAGTAGAGTTGGCAAACGTTTGTTTATAAAGACTAAATCATCAAAGACAAAGTGCAGTACGTTGCTTTGAATGCTTTCACATGGAACTTTATACATGTACATATAAAATGGTGTGGATTGATTTTGAAAGAAAATATGGCGACACCACCATAGAGATTATAAATAACACTAGAAGGGGCATCGTAATCTTAATTCAGTCAAAGAAAGGGAACGTGTCTATTGGGGGGCAAACAATTAAAATGCTAAAATAAGAGAGAGTTTGAGCCAATATATCTAAATTCTTGTTTATGGTAGTTAACTGAGTTCTGTTTTGATTTTTACCAAGGATTTTTACCACAATTTTGTTTATAACACATTTCAAACAGTGTTCCAAAATAATGCTGTGTCAGTAATTTTGATATTTTCAAGAGAAATTAATTGTTTGAATTCAAAATTTTGAGGGAATGTTTGTAATAATGGCATGCAAAGCATATAAAACACCCAGTTTTGTGACTCTTGTTTTAAATTTTTCTGGTTTCAAGTGCAACCCAAGAGTTGTGTGGTGTTTATTCGTGATTTCAATCCCCCCCCCCCCCATTACCGCGCTCTCAAATTTCACCCTCGATGCTCCCTCTACCGTTATTTATAATCTCTATGGACACCACAGTCATGACGTATAAATCAGTGAGCAACAGAATTCAGAAACATTTGATGTAGTTGCAATTTCGCCATTTTCACAACATCAAACGTTTCTGTTGTTCACTGATCTATACGTCATGGCTGTGGTGTCCATAGAGATTATAAATAACGATAGAGGGGGAATCGGGTGAAATTTGGGAGCGCGGTAATGGGGGGCAGTGGGGAAATTGAAATCACGAATAAACACCACACAAGTCTTGGGTTGCACTTGAAACCAGAAAAATTTAAAACAAGAGTCACAAAACTGGGTGTTTTATATGCTTTGAATGTCATTACAAACATTCCCCCCAAATTTTTAATTCAAACAATTAATTTCTCTTGAAAATATCAAAAGTACTGACATCAGCATTATTTGGAACACTGTTTGAAATGTGTTATAAACAAAATTGTGGTAAAAATGCTTGGTAAAAAACAAAACAGAACTCAGTTAACTGCCATAAACAAGAATTTAGACATATTGGCTCAAACTCTCTCTTATATTTTAGCATTTTAATTTTTTGACCCCCAATACTGAATAGACACGACGTTCCCTTTCTTTGACTGAATTAAGATTACGATGCCCCCTCTACTCTCTAGTGTTATTTATAATCTGTATGGTGATGTCGCTATATTTTCTTTCAAAATCAATCCACACCATTTTATATGCATGTACATGTATAAAGTTCCATGTGAAAGCATTCAAAGCAACATACTGCACTTTGTCCATGTTTGTATTTTTTCACTTTATTTTCAGTCTTTATAAACAAATGTTTGCCAACTCTACTAGCAGAATCATGACAAAATACAGTTTCGCAAAATACAGTTTCGCAAAATACAGTTTCGCAAAATGCAGTTTCGCAAAATACAGTTTCGCAAAATACAGTTTCGCAAAATACGTTTCGCAAGGTTTCGTTTCGCAAAGTTTCGTTTCGCAAAATACAGTAAGCCTAAAGATTATACAGTTGTCATATTTATTACTTCCTGAGGTGTAACTTCATGTACTGTGGGTGTATATCACAAAATCGTAAGAGTTCCAAGGCAACTCAACTATCATGATAATGACTATATACCTCATGCTACTATGTTTCAGCCTACAGTATGAAAGTTTTCCAATACTAAAATAAAACTTTGCATGCATATACAAAAATTTATCTAGCTTGAAAGTTCGATAATTTTATACAACAATCATGCTATGTGAAATGGCATACGCATACAATGTTAATATAAAGATTTATATTCAGATATCTGGTTATAGATTACAAACAATTGTATATAGTAAAATAAATGTAGAAATAAAAATAAAGTTATGAAGCCGTCTTGAATAATAGCGCATCAATAAAAATATTAACAGTAAATTGTACTATTGTAGTTATGGTTTCAAATCTCTTGACTTTCTTTGCCGGGGACGAATATTCGATCAGATCTGATAAATAAATATTAAATACATAGTCAGCATATAAATCCAATGCAGTAGAATCCCAGCATAGAATTTCTGACCAAAATTACTATTTAACAACAGTTAAAACCCAAGTATAAACAAAACATTTATCTGAATATAAAAGACATCGTAGCAGACAACAGCTCACATGTCGATTTGATCACAGGTATTCACAGCGTGCTGCACTGAATATCGCACAAACGCACTTTTAGGGCAGCTTTGCTGGCGTAATATTCTTTCCGTGTTCTCTTGTTGTTTTATATGTTTCAATAATTTACTAATAGGTGGATTTGGTTTCATAAAAGTCGCAAATTTGTTGAAACCTTTTCGAATTCTATATAAATATTTTACATTCACTCCTCATCACCTCATGTGGAATATAAACATCGGGCGTGTATATCGCCAATTATGGGACTGGAAACGAGAGGTTCATTTCCGGTGGAGTCCCCTGTAAACAAACGCCGGGCACATGCGCAGAAGGGACTTATCCCCCTCTTTAACCCTTAACCGATTAGAATTATTATAATCAATTTTACTATCGGAACACTGAATTTTTGAAAATTACTGATAAAAAACTGGTATTCTGTCGTGTAAATTTTAGTATATACCTTTCACTAAAGTTAGCAATATTTTTTTACATCCACCAATATTAGCACACAACATGACACATCAAATCCTGGTACAATTTGATAAACCGTTCCTTACTTATTGTGTGCACTGGTATTATGTGGTACATTAGGCTTTTTTCCACAGAATGTTCAATTAAAAAAAAAATTCTACCAAATCTAGCCCCGAAAGCCCCCAGAAAGAAAAAATACAGTGATAAACTATACTAAAAAATATTAACAGGCCATATTATATGTATTTGAAAAAAGATATGGAACATGTAAATGTTTGCGGTATTCTGTGGTACATACACCTGTAGTTCGAATTTGTTTAACCAGTGTGTTTAACCAATTCACCGACAACAACAACCAGGTGGTGCCTACTTTGATACTTTAGTGTCCTTGCCAAAAGATTTACTCGTTGGTAGAACAGTACTGCCAGTTATAACAGTGAATATAAATCCATAGTGAGTATTTGTAAATATTTTTAATTTCAGATAAACCCATGATAGCCTATCTTCACAATTTGTCCCCAATAAAAAAGAGTCAAAGGGACAACCTCTACTTTGACATGACATTACAAACAGAAGACACAACGTACAGAAGTGTATGCTTCTCTCCAGAAAAGCATACACAATTTTTAACAAGATATGAATCCTCGTCGCCCGTTAAACTTTCGAAGTTCCAGCTGAAGAGGAATACAAGAACAAATGAAGACGAAGTCCATATCAACAAAAGATCAAAGGTGGACGACACAGAGGAATCCGATGTGTCTTTCGACATAAAAGTTTTGCGGCCAACAGAGAAATGTAAACCTGGCATCACTACTGTGTGTGATGTATTGCAAGAAGATACCAATTCGGTTGTGAATGTTTGTGGTCGTATTACCCTGCAAGGTCCAATACAAACCATTATGTCTAAGGGCAAGGCACTACGGAAACAAGAGGCAGTATTGACGGATAATTCAGCAACTATCCGCCTTGTGCTGTGGGAAAATGATATATCCAAAGTTTCGTCAGAATCCACATATGATATATCGAAAGTGGTGCTTAAGGAATACGAGAAGGCAAAGTATCTTACCTTAAATAAGTCATCTACCATCAAGATATCGCAAAAGTCAATAAGCAGGCTAGATACCCCATCAACAGAAGTGTTATCGAACACACAATGTGTTACGTTATAATTCAGCAACTATCCGCCTTGTGCTGTGGGAAAATGATATATCCAAAGTTTCGTCAGAATCCACATATGATATATCGAAAGTGGTGCTTAAGGAATACGAGAAGGCAAAGTATCTTACCTTAAATAAGTCATCTACCATCAAGATATCGCAAAAGTCAATAAGCAGGCTAGATACCCCATCAACAGAAGTGTTATCGAACACACAATGTGTTACGTTCCCGGCGAACGGAGTTTTATCTTTGCAACGATTTTCATCTTGTCTAAGATGTCAATCAAAATTGGTACCAAATGCCTCCAAAAAAACTGTAAAGTGCACCGAATGTGGTCTGGGACAACTTCAAGCTAGCTGTCAACAGCGTTTGTTGGCAAATGTTTTATTTCAGAAGGGAGCAAGTTCAAACAGTTTGCTGCTGTTTGATGACAAACTAAAACAATTATTCAAAATCTACCAAGAGCAGACTAATAACACGCAAACTTTTGAAAGTCTAGATGATGAATTGATGATGATATGATGGAATTTTTGTTAACCGTGGCTGCGAAAGTGTTCTATAATGGAAAAAAGAATGTGGTTGCTATTCAGAAAATTTAACATTGAAATTGAACTTGTAGTCGCATATATATATATATATATTGTATACTTTACGTTATATGCATATTCTATTGCCAGTGCTGGGACAGTGGACACTTAATTCCTATCGCACTTCTATTTAAAGTTCATTACTGTTTTGTTGCCTGTTAAGGTGTTTTGTTGGGTTAAATAGATAAAAATGAAAGACTGTACATGTGTCTCTAATATTTTTTGTTTGTCCACACTTAGCTTTGATAGTTTGTAGAGTGGCCCTGTCTGGGCCAACATTTTATATTGGGAAGTGGGATAGGAGTGCGCAACCAAAAGAAACAAATTGTCACCTGTCTTGCAATTATTTAGAAGCATTCTAACAATTACCTCACCCACCCACTAACGGTCCTTGACTTGCTAGAGAATTTTCAGTCCATATATTTTTCTAACGTAATCTATTTCATAGCTAAAATGGCTCCCGCAGCATTCCCTACCTTGCAGGTAACCTAGTATTAAAGACTGTTCTTATTTATGCTTGACCTTTGACTATTAAGTGGCCAAAAATTGTGCCTACAGTAATCAACTTATTCCACTATCCAGGTTGCATCACTTTTGATTGCAAAACACCCGGGTTTATTACTCCGGGTACTGTAAGTACCGGAGTATTAAAATGGCCAATCTTTTTTCTTAGGCGACGCAAGTGTGCACTTCCACAGGTGCACCGTACGCAACGCACTACAAAAATACGAAATATCTAAAAATAGCCGCCATTCGTAGTAGATCGGAGCGAGCGTTGTGTTTACAATGTATTTAGTTCTATTTACAGTAAATATTATCAAATGGAGGGGTTCTCATACACTCGTTCTTATACAATGACCACAGTTCATATAAATACAATCGAAATTCGAGACTTTCTCGCGTGTTTAGTAGCGGTTGCCGTTATTGGAAAGCTAATTCTGATCGACAACTGGCTTGGTTCGTTACTGACGTTGGCCCGGTATTTTTTAATTTTGTCAACACTGTACGTAGTTAAATTGTGTTAACACTCGTCACTCGTGTTCTTTAAGTCTCCCTAATTTGTGCCTCGTGGCCAAAATTGAAGTACAAACAACGCACAAATCTATTCGACATATGACATATCTGAAAGTCTTCGATTCGCGAGGCAATTTATATCGCAACCCACAACAATATTGGCAATATTGTCTACCACGCTTGAATTAGACAAAAGCGCGTATAAAATATATATAACTATAGATAGCTTTACCCAACACTATTACTTCTATTACACAGTTTAATGTTTTATTTATAGAGTATTAAAAATCGGTCTCGACAGCTGCATTGTCTTGGTCTTAAAGTAAAATCATTACTAGAACAATCTAAACGTTTGATAATAACAAACTTACAGAAGCCTTACAAATTAAAACAATCAATCTGTATAAACAAAATATCAACATAACTTGGTGCCAGTTGTAAACTTACTACCATGCATTGAAAAAGTGTTGACAATTAACTATATGACATGACTAACAATATATTACTTTTTAAATAATTTTCTTTGCGTGTTTGATAAATGTGGTTTGTTTACGTTAGCTATTTTTAGTAATTCAGTTTCAGGAGTTCTTCTCGAGGGTCGAGGGTGGGAAGCGAGGGTCGAAAAATCATATATAAAAAGTCGAGGGTCATATATAAAAAGTCCGGGGTCGTATTTCTAAAATATTTTATGGTTTTTATTGTCGAGGGTAGAAATTTGCGGGCATTCGCTATAGATAAATTTGCAATGTACAATAGCGAAAACAATACTTTGAAGATGGCGTCGCGAACCCGGAAAAGGCGTATGGCAATGGAAAGGTGTAAACAAGTCCTGATTACTTTGATTCAATAGACCATATAGTGAATAGACTGATACAATAACTTGCGACATGCAATCCGAGATAACGCAGATAATGCACCACGCCGTTTGAAAATATCTCGACTGTCGCTTTTGATCGGCATGTCTATTTTATGTAGTAATATTTCGTCATATAAAAAGTAATCGCATATAAAAAATTAATAATTGCATATAAAAATAAGAGCTAAAAATTAAAAGTAAAGTAAGTGAACACGAACTTAAATTATTATTTTGTTAAATTATTAAAATGTACCCTCAAGCTTTTCACCCTCGAATTTCTACCCTCGACAATAAAAAAAATAAAATATTTGTAAAATACGGCCTCCGACTTATTATATACGACTTGAAAAAACACTCCTACGCATGTTTTAAATAGAACATTTAATAAAGAACTAGATAGCTTTTATTAGAGATAATTAGTGTCACAATGTCCTTTTATTTTTATGCTATAAAATATTATGATCATTGCATATGTTTTTAGTCACCTGGTCAAGTGGTGTAGTTCTCCCACTTTTCCAACTTTAATATGCTAAATATCATGCATTAAAGATACCTTCATTGCCGTATAGAAGCATACGTTAAATTAGCTTTGCGCTTAGTTAAGGCCTTGTACCCGGAGTGAACGCCTGAGTAGGCGTCTTGTTATATTAGTTTCGTACCACGAGATGTGGCACTGATCAGATAAATTAGCCTTAAGCCTAATTTATCTGATGAGTGCCACATGTATCGCCCATATATATATATATATATATATATATATATATATATATATATATATATATATATATATATATATATATATATATATATATATATATATATATATATATATATATATATATATATATAGGTTAGATGGAAAACACGGAGTCGGAGTTCCGGAGTCGGAGCCCCGGAGTCGGAGTCCCGGAGTCTGACGTCATAAAAATATGGAAAACACGGAGTCATATGGAAAACACGGAGTCTGACGTCATAAAATATGGAAAACACGGAGTCATATGGAAAACACGGAGTCTGACGTCAGAGAAAAATATGGAAAACACGGAGTCATATGGAAAACACGGAGTCCACCATAAAATATGGAAAACACGGAGTATGACGTCAGAGAAAAATATAGAAAACACGGAGTCTGACGTATTGTCAGCGTGAAATATGGAAAATAGTAATTAAATAATATATCATTTATGCGAAATATATTAACGAATTGGAAATTTTCTGCACTAATTCTGGTATTTCTCTAAAATGTCGTGAAAATATGGATTATTTATTTTTAAATACAATCAAGCAAATAATATTGTTTCTCTTGTCGTGTGACTTGTTCAGTTGTACAATAATTTGAAGTGATTTTAATGCGGATTGGGCTATTACATTTAATACCCGTACCCCCCCTGTCGAGGACCTCATTTTCCAAGGGGGAAATTAGTCATTTTTTCCAGAGGGGTAATTGGGAAAAATGGAAGAAAAATGCTCTTTCCAGAGGGGTTAAAAAGCAAAAATGCACTTCCAGAGGGGGTTCAAGTCTCTTCCAGAGGGGTCAATTACACGGATTTTTCTGCATTCCAGAGGGGTAAAACTCCCCACATGCAGAGGTCCTCGACAGGGGGGGTTTGGTTTTTAAATGTAATAGCCCATTTTGTTCACCTCGCATGGTATGTTGATAAAAATATAGTTTATATACTTAATACTGCTAGAATATTTCATAGTCGATTAGCATGTAATATTTATAACACACAATATCTTGACACAAAACAGATATGCTGCTTGGAAACAGCGTTGCTATTTAGGCCACATAAGTAAATATAGAAATTTTGTATTTCATAAAGTATTACTGACAATGCTTTTGAAAGGGATAATTTTAAGTGAAACTACCCACCTGTTGTGGACTTAAAATAAAATTGTGAACTGATGATGCAGAACCACTGGGATAGGGATATTGCTAGGAATACTGCCAGGGATACTGCTAGGGATTGTGGCGCACTAAATTTACTATTATGGATTGTTTCATTATAAACAGTACTGGAATGCTCTGAATGGTTGTACAATAAGCAAAATTTGCCTTAGTAAAGTAAGCCAGTATCTAGGCTGGCTTGCATTACATATAAACATCCCCTATAATCCTACTATAGTTGGAAAAAATTAAGAAGTAAATTTCCCTTCAATATATGCAATTTGTAGTTCTAGTTGTATATATATACCGGTATATATATATATATATATATATATATATATATATATATATATATATATATATATATATATATATATATATATATATATATATAATAATTTAATATTTTAATACAATTTTTCAATTGAATAAGTTGCTACTTTAAGTTTCATGCAACAAGTATAATCATCAGGCAACATATTAATACGGTTAAGTTGTTGCGTTTTACTACTCGCAATGTTTGCTGACGCGTGTTCGTTTGAATCGTCCCGCGTGGAATCTGCGCGCATGCACGCATTTCATGAAAATTTCGCTACGTTTATTTAAATTAGACCGAGAATTATAACTACGGAGCATGGATGGCTTAACAACATGTGCTTGACGAAAGATTTAGTTTATCAAGCCGAGGTAAAAACGAAAGACAACAACGATATAAAATCCTACATTGGTATGACAGCGACAACATTTAAGGAGAGATACAGAAATCACAAGAAATCATTCAATGATATTAAATACGAGAATGAAACTGAACTTTCTAAACATGTTTGGAAACTAAAACTAAATAGAAAACAATTTAATATCAAGTGGTCCATCTTATCCCGAGCAAGTTCAATCAAAGCCGGTGGAAATAGTTGCAATTTATGTTTAGAAGAGAAATTGCAAATACTCCGTAGTTATAATTCTCGGTCTAATTTAAAGGGGAAGTCAAGTCCGTAATGTAAACAAACGGTTTGTTTACATTTTGAACTGCTGTATTTTTTAAAATATGATGTACTGTCTGAATATCTAACACCATTTTGGTTCGTTATGCTTCTACATGAATATGAAATAGAGTTTGTGTTCAGAAAAATTCGAAACATTCAAAATTTGGGCAATGTTTACCTCAGAGGGCCCTCTATTGTTATGCGCAGAACCGATGCGCAGAACGGACTTGACTTCCCCTTTAAATAAACGTAGCGAAATTTTCATGAAATGCGTGCATGCGCGCAGATTCCACGCGGGACGATTCAAACGAACACGCGTCAGCAAACATTGCGAGTAGTAAAACGCAACAACTTAACCGTATTAATATGTTGCCTG